GGCCGCGGCGGCGGCTCCTGGCCTCGCTTCCCCGCGCCCGCGGCGCGCACTCAGCCCGCCCGCCTCGCGGACGGGGCCCTGCGGAGCCATGTCCGAGGGGGAGCCGCCATTAGCCCCCTGCGCCCCCTCGGGGCTCTGCCCCACATCCCCTCCGGGCGCCGGCCACGCGTGCCGTGGTTCTGGTGATGGTTTTGGGGAGGACAAAGGGACCCCCACGATAACCTGGTCCGGGTGGCTCCGCAGGGAGCGCCTGGACGGGTTCACCCCCTGCACTGCCCGGGGAAACGGTGACGAAGCCCTTGGGGTGACGGGGCCAGAGGGGAAGGCGGCCGCCGAGAGGAAGGAAGCCCCGGAAAGGCCTCGGCGAGGGCTGGCGAGCGGCGCCTACGTGATGGGGCCCCAATGGGCCGGGGCCCGTGGCGGCCCTCGGCGATGGGGCCCCAATGGGCCRGGGCCYGTGGCGGCCGTCGCGCRTCCCGCTGTGAGGGCTCCATGGAAGGGGAGGCACCGACGAGGCCTCCTTCCCCCCACACGCCTCCACGAACATTGTGCTTTTAGCGCAGTCCCGCTTGGCAAAACACCTTTATTTTTTTTTTTTTTTAAACAAACAAAAGCACTTTGTTTAATTTGTGTCCTTGATTTCACTTAGGGGTCTCGCAGTGTGAAATTAAGCAGCGTTTCAGAGAGGAAATAACATTTTGAATGAAGAAGCAGCTTTAGTGTATTCTGACGTTCCCCCCTGGACCTGTCGTGCCATCTTTCTCCAGCTTTGCTGGTTTTCCTTCATTTTCTGTCCTTCCTGGAAGCTCAGTTACAGGGTAGTCCTTTTTTCTCTCCACGTTGGCAGCCAGTGCCAGCCAAAGTGCTTGGATCAGGAAGCACAGCATGTATCTCTGTAGGCATCGACCATCTCTCAAATGAGCTAAAATAGAACRCTCGCCTACTTGGACTCATACGGTTTGAAATCATTCAGGAAAATCTCATCACTAAGGTGAAAGGATCTTTAAGTWCACCCCTAAATACATTTACAGGTATCAGCAGCCCCTCAGGTCCAACTATCTCCCAGGTGGGAAATAAAAGCTGCTTAATCATGTACTAGCAAACTGAGCAGACCCAAAGGTGAAGAAAAGCACCTAAAACTATAGATCGATACAAATATATTCTTCTTTTCCAGGGAGACTTACCTAATACATGTAACCTGGGACAACTCCTATGGTTTTAAGCGCTGCTATCTGCCAGAGCCAGTTTTAGATACATATAGACAGGCTGCAATGAATAATGAAGGTGGTTGTGTGTTGTTCTGTCATGCAAATGGGTTTGGATCATTTTCTGTATGGCCACAGCTAAAATGTAGAGATCGGAAGATAGTACTTCAATTTGCAAAAACATACCAAGCAATGTTTAAAAATAATTATGAAAAGCCACAAGTTAAGCAGCAGAATCAGTGGAAAAGCATACGTACTCAYCATCCAAAGAAGATTCTAAAATGCAGAGGTTTTCAGTTTGGTAGTAACTATCACAATTATCTGTTCTGGCCTCCTAYATCCATGTAGGCTGCATCCACCCTTCAAATAATTTCTGCTTCATTTTCAGTTGCTGTAGTTGAAGCAGACCAAGCAAAGGATCCCATCACTAAGCTAAAAAAGTGACTTGTTCAAGGTCATTAATATTACTGGGTATGAGCAGCTTATCCAGCAGGCATCAGCTTCCTAGACCACAAGCAGTGATATTAAATGTGTTACATCCCTACAGTTACTGTTTGTCTAGGAAGAGTGGAGAAATGTGTGGATTTTTAGGGCTCTTTAATCGATCCACTTACCTTTTTATTACATGTAAATAGGTTTTGGTCTTTATCTCTACGTTGGCATCTTCCACCCTCTCACAGCGTGGTCGAATAGTTGCTGCAGCACAACTGAGATCTCCTAAAGTGCATCAGCTGCTGCTGAAATAAAAACTCAGTTGGCAGAATATTCCCTTGGGAAGGTTCCTGTCCCTCTTTCCCCGTGCCCAGCTGCTGTTTCCCCCTTTCACCAGAAGCTTCTGCCCCCATCAGTTGTACTGAATGCTAAATAAAGAGAACTGGATTCGAAGGAAGGAGGAAAAAACTTCTCTCAAGGGTATATAGAATAAGATTCCTTATTTGTTTCAGATCCAGTACAGGTGGTGCTTCCACTGCAAAATTAACTCTAATCTAAAATGAGAGGAAATGGGAAGGGATATGGTGGATTTGGAAGTAGGTGGTGGAGAAGAAATACAGTAGTGAAAGCAATTATGAAACAAAAGCTGAAGCAATGACAATCACTACTCCAAACAGAGAAGCTTGAAATAGTTCAGGATGCAAGTCCACTAATTAGAAGTCTAGCAAATAAGCCCAGGGAGCTTTACATTTCGTACTGTCGGGAAATAGGAAGATAGATCATCAAGAAAGTTATTATTCTCCTGGACTTTCTAATGTATCAGCAGTTTAAGTGTTTGCATTTTTGATCACTTAGTTCTGAAAGAATTGTGTGGCTGTTCTCCTGCAGACCACAAATGATTTAAAGCTTTATTAATTCATTCTCCATCTGTATTTGAGGTCTTATACTATACTACTGTGTTAGAGGAATCAGTGCTTGGGAAAAAAAAAAAAAAAAAAGGGAAAAAGGAAAAAAGGAATGCTGCTTACTGTAAGAGACAAGACTGGCATATTTAGGCGACAGATTTTATTTAAAAAAAAAAAAGTAATAAGAAGAATCAGCCCAAAATCCACGTGAGTGCAGCTTAAAATAACACGTCAGTAGGCTTGTGAAGGCTCCTGACGTATCATCCGTGGTAGACAAAATGATCTATAGTAATCATGGCTCAGCACAGCAATGTGYAGGCTCTCCTATAGTTTCTTTCTCTATGTAACTGCAGTAAATAAGAACAACTAAGTTCTTTACAGCTGTCAATTTGAATAAAAGTGCCAATTCTAGAGCAAAACAATTTTATTATTGTTTTGCCTATGTGTTAGCCTAAAAAGTGAACCACTGATAAATGATTAGATTGGTTTGAATTACATTAAACTCTTTTGTTTTCTACCTAAATAAAATATGTGCAGGTAAAGTACTATGTGCTACAACTTTGGACAGGTACAATACACCCCAAATAAAATCAAATTCTTGGGGTGAAGTTTTATTTTTGCCAAATTAAAATGCATAACACCTGCTCTTATCTTTAGTTGATGTAATTTAGCTGCATTTTATCAGTAGATGAAAAAAATAGAAAAAAGTTTAACAATTTTGTCCAAGAAATACTGCTTTAAGAAAAAAAGAATGTACTTGTATTGATTTGCTTTGTGCAGTATCAAGCTAGATCATTTAACAAAAAAATGCAATTACAAAATTGCATATGCTGACTAGTGAATAAGAAAACTGATGATCACCTGAAAATATCTGCAATTAATATTCAAGTACTGAAGGAGTGATAGAGAGAAGCTGGAAAAGATGAAAACAGGAGTTATTACAAGATGTTTCCTCAGCTCAGTAATTACTCACAAATATCTTCTATTCTCCTATGTCATCYAAAAATTAACCTATATGCAATAGTTTATAATACCCTCTAGTGGTTTATATGGGAAAAGGAAACAGAAGGCAGATAAGGAAGCATTACCTTTTTGTTACTGAGCGAGTGTATAAAGCATTTTCATTTGTAAGGTATTGCTGTTCTTTCTAGAAGGGGCAGTTAAAATGTAAAATGCACTGCAGGAGGTACCCTTAGCCTGCAGCTAGATTTATGGTTTAGTTAGAACAGTTGGGTGTAGAATATAACTGCACCATTAAAGTACTGAATGCCAAGCTCATGTTTTGCAGACAAAGCAAATTCATGTGCCACTGCAGCACATGAAGGCTSCAAATAGTGATGCCCAAATCAAAGATTTCTACTGATATGAGAGCTATGTTTAATTCTTTCATACTAAGAATATAGTCTACATGCAATTTGTTACCAAAAAGGACTTGCTGGAGAAGCTTACGTGCAGGGTTTCTGCGTTTACCAAGTCTTCTGCTTTATTTGCCAGTTGGCAGGGATTCAGAGATGGAGGTGAAAACTAGCAGTGCTGGAGGAAAAAAAATCGAAGAACTCCCTCTTATCAAGGAAAAGCTGTTGGGTTTATTAAAAGAATTGCACAAATCCTCCTGAATCTTTTCCAGAAGTACTGTCCACTTGTTTAGAGCCAACTAGGTCTACCTTGAAATCATCTTTGTTTCCATAAGCAATATTCCCCTAAGTGGTTTTATATCTAGGAACTTCCATTTCTCTATAGTGGCAGGTCACTGCACAGCCTCTTTGTCGCAGCGTGATGATAATTAACTACAGTGCATCATTCTGATTATCATTTTGTTTTCACCCTTTTATTGAAGCCTCATTATTGCTGTAAGATTTAATGAGAGCTATAGCTATTCGGTCATGATTTTCTGGAGGCACTGATTACTTCCTGCCCATCCAAGAGGAAGGATCCCCCACTGCTCAGATGTCACATTGGTTCAGATTGAAATCAGCTTCTAAACTAATGCCAAGCAAGATGGTAGCCAGCAGCCAATTATTTTAATGAAGAAAGGCTTTA